GAGCCCGATGCGGGACTCGATCCCGGGACTCCAGGATCATGACCTGAGCCGAAGGCAGTCGCTTAACCAACTGAGCCACCCAGGCGCCCTGTTTTCTTCTTCTTTTTTAAAGATTTATTTATTTGAGAGAGAGAGAGAGCAGGAGGGGCAGAGTGAGGGACAGAGAGAATCCAAAGCAGACTCCATGCTGGATGCAGATCCCGACAGGGGGCTCGATCTCAGGATCCTGAGATCACGTCCTGCGCCGAAACCAAGAGTCAGACGTGCCACCCAGGCTCCCCCCTCTCCTTTTTAAAATTTTTTTATTTTTTTTTATTAAAGATGTCTTCGTTTTCTGAACACTGTGGAAGATTTTTTGCCATTGGAAGAAACAGACCATGATTCCTTTAGGACAGTGTCTGGTGTTCTAGGCTAAAAAGTTATCAAAGTTAAGAAAAGGAAGATTTGTTTCTGCTTTTTTACAGTATATTTCAAATGAAATATTTCAAATTCAGTATATTTCAAATGAACCCTTGTCTTGAGTTCTCTGAATTCTTTGAGTTAAATTGAAAAAAAAAAATACAGGGCCCATTTTCTTTTGATGATCTTAGTATCCCTGTAATGCTTAAGTAATAGCCTGTATTAGGTGAGGTAGTAATCACCTTCAGAGATGTACAAGGCGAACAGATGGTAACATGTGCATAGGGTCTGAATCTTCACACAGGTCTGGGAAGGTAGAAAATAAAAAGCGAAAGTCCCTCCCAGTCCTTCTCTTGGAAGGTAAATATTATTAACCATTTCTTGTATATTCTAGCAAACATACACATGCTGTTACATACTTTGAATTTTTTCGCTTAATACCATTAGGAGATCTTTTCTTTCAGTGCATATAGGTCCACCTTGTTTTTTCACTGCGATATAATCCCCATCATGTGCTTATGCCCCAGCTTATCTGAGCAGTGTCCCTTTTGGTGGACTTTGAGGTTGTGTTGTTTTGCTATTCCGAGTGATGCTCTCTTAAAGTTCGGTCTCCTGTATTTTCACCCAACATTGGGTCTAAACTGTCCTGCAGTGAGCATTCTTCATATATACTTTCATGAGTGACATAGGGCAGAATCTTAGCAGTGGACCCGTTGATTCAAAGGGTCTTTGTATTTAAAATCTTGGTAGCAGCTTCCCAGTAGTCATCTGGTGGGATCGTAGTGGTTTCCATCCCCACTGTCAATGAGGAAGACGACCGTTATCTAGCAACAGATAGTGTCAAACCTGTACCATTTTGCCCATCTAGTGTTAGACTTAGACTGGACAAAATGGAATTCAGTGGCCCTAGTGATAATGTAAGAGCCATATTGTACGATGATAGGAATATTTAAACCAGTCTTGGAAGGTAATACTAAAACATAAATGTTTATGCATTTTAGAAATGATCTTCTTCCTTCCTTATGTACGAGCACACGTACATCTCTATTTAACCCATTATCACCATTGTTTGATGCAGAGGCAGCAAGTCTTGGGTGTTCCCTATTTACCTGTGGGGCCTTAGCGAGCCTTTCAGTCTATTTTGTGTCTCCCATTTCCTCACTTCTGACAAAGAAGGTCGAATGGCATGAGCATAAAGACCCACCATTTAGTTTCTCTTTCTTGCATTTGAAGCCATACTCTGGTGTCTGGGAGTCAGTCCCAGATGACACAATGCATCCTTGCCTGTGTTCATTCTACAGTATCAGTTACTTGACGTCGCCTGGCCAACCGTGCTCCCAGAGAAAGAGTTACCCCAAAATACTTGCTGTCAGACACATGAGTAAAGGAAATGGGAACAATAACAAAACTAATACTCGCATGGCATTTCAAACATTTAAATCAAATTTTGTAGGTTGAGACTAATCTCTTTATCATGTCTCTTCCCTGTGAGCACCATTCTACCATTTCCTCAGCCCCCTTGACTATGATTGTGGAAGCTCAAGTCTGGTGCCCAAAGCCGGTTCGTGCTGTCGCACTGTCTGCAGAGCGTGAGGTGTCTGCAAACCTGCCTTCGTGATCTGCGTGAGCCCCCTCACTACCCCACCGTCAGGGAGTGCTGGGCTGGCTTCCTGCAGGCCCTTCCCTACCTCATCTCTGTGCAGGCACTTAATCTGGCACATCATTGAATACCCCCTTCTTGTGTTTCTCAAGGTCAATTTGATTGACTCCAGTTTTTCCAGCTGCTAGCCAGCTTGAGCATGTTCATACTTTATCTGGGATGAATCCTTTTGGTAGCAGAGCCAGGAAGGTACTGCAGCATATTGGCGCCTCATGGGAGACTTGAAATGATCCAGAGTTTTTTGTTGCAGCAAAAGCGCTCTCCGAAGTCTGTGGGCTGTTTGGCTCAGCGTTGGCTTGCATGTGCCAGGGCTCGGTGGGCATTCTCAGCTTGGCTCTGGAGATGGAGTTCATGCCTCCTTCCCCAACTTGTTCTTTCCTGCCTGGTCTTTGCTTCCCTGCCTTCACGGCTCTTTCTAGAATTGCCGTGTTCCAGAACCTTCGTGTCTGCCTCCAAGCCGGTGGGACATTATTCTCACGGTCACCGTGGGGCATCTCACAACCACCCTTTAGTGAGTCCCTGTCATGTGCTGTGTCCCAGGTGAGGCACTTTATATCCCTGTTCAGGAGATGCAAAAGCCTGGTTTCCTCCTTTTTACAGAAGAGCCAAGGGAGGGCCCAGAAGGGTGAAAGGACGTCCCAGAGTCCCACATCTGATAAGCCCGGAGGCAGGTTTCTGGCACAGTTTGTCCATCTGGCCTCCAAACCCAAAGTCTGTCTACTTCATGGCCGGCTTGTCTACCACATTCGGCATCACGCATGTTTGTGACCTTTCAGGCTTTGCTTTCAGAATTGCTAGATGCTATCTGAGAGATTAATTTCAGGATTAACCCTAATTTCTCACAGGGAGCAACACTGATGTACCTTATTGTTCTAAGCAATCCCTTTTCATTCAAGACATCCTTTAGCGTTCTCAAACCAGTTTTGGGGGATCTAGCTATTTAGTAAAATACAACTTAAATGAAAATACATTCCATATGGAATTATATTAAAAGCCTATATGTAATTATGACTACTAATAATTATTTCATGGGATAATGCCCTCCTGCTGAGATGTTTTGGTTGTTTCAAAGTTAGTAATAAGAATTGAAAACAATTAAAATTGGATAACATGGACAATATAGAAGTAAACTACCCTCTTAAAAGGCCAATCGATTTAGCATAGTTTAAAAAGGAGGGACAGGAGGGAGGCCCATCATTCCCCATTTGTATTTAAATGAAGTATCTCTGGAACTGGGGTTCAGTACCTGTGTTGTTAAGCAGTCCTCCTTAGGAGGATGTGATCTACCTCATTCGTGTCCTTAAGTGGATTACGGACTAGTGTCCCCTCCCTCTAAGACAAGAACCTGATTTTTCCCTAGGTATGCCAAGGAGCCCATATGGCTGGCTGAGTAGGAAGTTTACTTTCCTCTTTTCAGGATCAGGTTGGTTCTCTTTCATTTAGCAGCACTGTCTGGCTGTTAAGAT